CAATTTTCATTCTTTGCTGGATTGTTGTTGTTGTTATATGCCATTAAGGCACCTGCAACTCATAGCAGCCCTATGTACAATAGCTCTGAAGCCTGCCCTGTCCTGAGCCAGTCTCACTGACTGCGACACACCTATCCTCATTGCCATAGTTACTGTATCAATCCATCTCATCCAAGGCCTTCATCTCCTGTGCTGTCATTTCACCCTTCTGAGCATGATGTCCTTCTCCAAGGATCAGTCCCTCTTGGCATGTGCCCAAAGTATGTGAGATTGAGCTTCAAAATCCTAGCCTCCTAGGAAACTTGGATGCTCCATGGTATGTTCAAGACTTTTCTTCAGCACCACAATTCAAAGGCATCAATTCTTCTGTTAGTCATTGTCCAGCTCTCTGATGCATAGCAAATAATTGTGAAGACCATGGCTTGGATCAGGCGCACCTTAGTCTCTAGACTGACATTGTTGCTTCTCAGTACTCTGGAAAGACCCCTGACAGCCTTTACCTAGTGCAATTCGTCTTTTGAATTCCTGTCTGCTGGTGCCAAGAGTGTTGATTGTGGAGCTGAGCAAGCTATAACAAAAACCTCAAACTCTCTCCATCCATCATGGTGCTGCCAATTTGCCCAGTAGAGAGTATCTTTGTCTTCTTGATGTTTAGCTTCAATTCATATTGAAAACTACAGTCCTCAACATTTTGCTGTGAGTCCTTCAGGTCCTCCTCAGTTTCAATAAGCAAAGGTGTATCATCCACATAGCATAGGTTGTTGATGAGTCTTCCTCCAATCCTGATGCTGCATTCCTCCTCATAAAGGCTAGCCACCTGAATGATCTGTTTTGCATATAGATTGAAAAAGTATGGAGATGGGACACTTACCCATAATTGTTATAATTCATGTAGTTGAATGAATGCCTTTACATAGGTAGTAAAATACATATAAGCATCTTGCTGATTGATATTCTCTGCTCTCAGCTAAGATCCAACCGATGTTAGAAATTATACCTCATACCAATTTCTCTTCTAAATCCAACTTGAATTTGGCAGTTTCCTATGGACATTCTAGGAAGCTCAAGTGGCCTAGTCCATAGGGATTTGCAATATAAAACAAAGGTCGCAGTGCCTATCCACAAGGGGTTCCACTGGAGGAAGTTGGGCAGTCTCGTGTGCAATTTATAGCCTCAGAAATTCAGCTACAGTTTTAGCTAGGAATTGGTTATGACTCAACAGAAATGAGTTTTAGGTTTTGGAGATGTACTGCTCCAGCCATTTGTTTGCTTTTTTAGCAAACTTAAGCAGGATTTTATTTGCATGTGATAATAATATTGTTCAAAAAATTTCACATTCTATTGAATTGCCTTTCTTTAGAATGGATACAAATATAGATCTCTTCTAGTAGGTTGGTGAAATGTCTTGGCAGAAACAAGTGAGCGTCTCCAGAACTGTTTGTTTGTTGAAACATTTCACTAGGTATTTCATGAGTTCCTGTAGCTTCAGTTTGCACCACTACCTTTAAGGCAACTTAGACTCTTCCTTCAATATCAGTGGTTCTTGATCATATGCTACTACCTGAAATGATTGTCAGCCAATTCTTTCTGTTATAGTCAATTAGTGAATCTCTCTTCCCTCCATCTTCTTTTTTCAAAATTATTATTTATATTATCATTCACTTTGAATACACATTGTCTCATTTATTGTCTCATTTTTGTACATTTTGTTTTATACAGTAATTTCTGTACATTGTGTTTTATATAATTAATTACTGTTGATCTGTTATTTTCATCTCTGTGTCTCCTCAAGTTCCCCTTGGACCTGTATTCTTTCACCTCTTCATTCCCGCAGTAATCTTATCTGTCCTTATAATTTCCTTATTCCGTATCCATTTCCCCTTTCCTTTTTAATCATAGATAGATAGATAGACAGATAGGGGTTTTTTTGCCATCAACTTGAGTATGATTCATAGCGACCCCATGAACAAAAGACCTGCAGCCCTTTCACAACTTTCGCCATTTATCAAAGTTCATAGAGTTTCCAGAGGCATGCTGTTCAAGAAGTGGATGCCACTCCTGCTTCCTAATTATATATATAATTGTTATTAGGTAATTACAATAGCCTGTTGTCTTTATATCATTTCTTCCCAAGTTGATACTTTCCATATTGATCCTTCCTTGCCTTGGTCCTTATACTGTTATTTGTATATTTTTATTATTTCCCTCCACTCCACACAGTTATGCTCAGTTACCCTCCTCTTGTCACAATAGCAGCCTTATGTGCTATTTGTCCTTTTGTGACTGAATTATTTCACTCAATATAATGCACTCTAAACTCTACAGTGTTGTGCTGTACTTTATGAGTACTTCCTTGTACTTTACTACTGGTAGAAGTCCACTGTGTTAATATACTACAGTTTTTCTATCATTCATTTGTTGATGTGCATTTGAATTGGTTTTGTTTTCTTATTATTTTGAATAATGCTGCTGTGAACATGGGTGTGTGTGTGTGTGTGTGTGTGTGTGTGTGTGTGTGTGT